CACCGGTCCAGATTCCCCTGAGCAAAGCTCCGGGCAGCGCTGCAATTGCCCCGGGTCGGTCCCTCACCGGGCGGCAATCTGGAAGGGACTGTCGTGAGACGTCCTGAGGAAGGCCTCCCATCCAAGCAGGACTGATCCCGCTTAGGGTTGGGCGGGAGGGCAGGCGGGCTGTCCCGGGCACGAAGGTGCCCTGACCCTTGAGACCAGCATAAGAAAAGAGCTAGAGGACTCAGCCTAATCAGAATGAAGAGAGGCAAGCTGGGTTATGATGAAAAGAAAGCAGAAATGGAAGGATCTGACAGGGGCCCTTGGGGGACTAGACACCCCGGCACTGGAGGAAGTCCTGGATGACGAGGATGGAGCCGTAAAGTGGCAATTCTGCGCGTGCCAGGAAAAGGCCCAGGCGAAGTGCAAGCAGTGCACCGGGCTCTGGGCCAGTCCCTCTCGCAGCCCGAGGGAGGAGAGGAGGGTAAACGCTGCTAAGGAAGCTGCAGGGACAACAGGTTAAACTCAGTCCAGCCCGAACACAGCCTCTGGACTTTAAAGCAAGCTGGCTAAGGGTGTGGTGCAAAGCAAGCCAGCTCGCTTTATGACGAGGCCCCTCAATTATGTTGCAAAGAATTACCCCGCTAGCTCATATTCTAAAGTAGCTTTATTCTGTTTGCTAGAGCTTGACACAATCCTCCAAATATACACATCTGGTAGACACAGTGATGAGGTCAGACATCATGACTTCACCACCCCACTGATGGGTGGCACAATTGGCATCATTTGCACAACAGTCACACGACAGTGGCGATGTCACCGCCCCACCCCAGTGGGTGTGGGTGCCTCAAAACGGGTCTGCAAAAGTGCTTTTCAGGCCAAACAAAAAAAATAAACAAGCAAAAGTGGGAATTCCAGGTTCAGGTGACCCACCATGGTGGCCCTGGTGGTAACGAAGGACTTACTCTTTCCTTCCCACCCACGTGAGGCAGTGAAGAGGCAGAGAGGCAGATACCAGATGCTGAGGACAAAGCCTTCTCCTGGGGAAGACCAAGAGCTGGAGATCTTCCTCAGCAGGCGCCTCCTGCGAGTGGCTTGGTAAGTCTAATGCTGAGACACGCTGGAGGTCACCGTCTCCACTGAAGAGGCTCCTCCCAAGCTTCAGTTGGTGAGACCTCCCCAGGCAGTCTCAGACAACTGGTGGCCTTCGAGGGCTGACCCCTTCCCAGCTTCGGCCTGGTTCCGCCCAAGGGAGAGGGTTACGGCAAAGTGACCGTCCGGCTTGTGCCGCGTCCTGCCACAAAACGGCGTTTGCGCCTCAGCCCAGAGAATCGCTCGTTCAGCGTCACGCTGGTCTAAAGGAGAGAGACAAAATAGATGCCAAGCTGCATTTCTAGAAAGAAGCTAAGAGGAAGCTCTCCTGAACAGGAGCCAGATGTCCCTCTGGGGGAACACATGTAGGATCCCTCCCTGAATGGGAATTAGCATCGTCCGGTCTTCCCCATCCTTCCTCTGGGACTTCGACTCCCAGAATCCTCAGCAAACACAGCCATGCCGGGGGAGGTCCGGGGGGAGAACCCTGGTTCACATTCTCAAGACTGGACAATCTGTCATATCGTTCCTTCTTCACAAAGCTGCACGGCCTGGGCTTTAGAAATCCTGGGGGAGAGGGCAACACCGTGCGGTTCCGGGGGGGAAAAGGACGCCAGAAATCCCAGTGAGTGGCCTGGAACTCTGCAAGGCTGTTCCTTCCTTCTGCTGACGGTCACGTCACCCATCCCCATGAAGCATAACGCGTCAGGACTGCCAGCCCACAGCGATGGGACCAATCCCACCCCCTGCCTGGTTACACCCAGAAACACCTGATTTGGATGTTAATCTTAGCTGAAAAAATATTTAGGGGCATCTAACCCTCTCCTTTCATTGCAGGGTCCAGCTCCGCAGATGCCTTGAGGGGTCCCAAGGCCACATTCCTGGCCTGGGAGAATTCTCTACCTGGTTAGCCATAGCACGGAAGTTGAACTGGAGGGGCACTCCTCTCGGCTGGCGGTGGGGGTACGGGGCCCCGCTGTTTCTCCTTCTCGGGAAGGGGCGCATGGGTCCTGGCCTGTGAAACACCCCCCAAATGGAAAAACTCCAGGAGGGAAGCGGACGTAGCCCATGTCCCCCCCTGCTCCGGCCTGCCAAGAGGTCACCTAAATCTTTCTTGTAGGTCTGACACGGGTTTCCCAGCTACAACACACACAAAAGGCCTTTCTCGTACCATTTTTTTCAAAATGCCAGAAGCACATCTGGAAACCTTGCCAAAGCGGCGGGGGCATTTGCTTCCATGCCAGGGGCTGTGACCTTGAAGTCCTACATGTCAAGCGCAGCCCCTGGAAAAGGGAGACTGATCCCAGCTTCTGGCCAGGTCAAGCTGTTAACAGGCTACAGGGAAGTGAAAGCGCAGGCTGGCCCATCTTTCAAAAGCCAAGCCACCCGCCTGGCTCTCTTTCTCCCGCCAACACGCCGAGGGTTGCCCACTGGCGCCGAAGCAGAGGAACATTTTCAGAGGTCCAAAACCGCGGTCCGCACGCGTGGCAGAACACCTTTCGCATCACCCTCGCCTCCAAATGAAAATTCCCTCCTGCCGATCTCAGAGGCAAGGCTGCTGTAAAAGGGCAACCGGTCCAGGACCTCACAGTCCTGGTGCCCAGAAGTCCGAGTGCCCCAGGGGGAAAGTGATGCTGGGCCACTTACCCCGTGGAGTGGCCTGCCTGGGGGTTAGACACAGAGATGGTCAGGACGGCCCCAGAACTGGGCTGCGTTCGCCACCTGCCAGAACAGCAAAGCCAGTCGCTTTTCAGTTAAGACAATCCATGTTGTTCTCTCTTTTTTCCAGAAGAAAAAAGTATCTACCTTCCCTGGTATTTACCTTCTCATCCTTGAAAGTTTCCCCTCCATTCTCGACTTGATTTGCTGTTGGAAGAACAGGGACGACAGGCGTAAAAGTGAAAACAAAATGTTTACAGGACATCATTGGTTACCATCAAGGAGGCTAAAGCGGGAAGATGCCTTGGCCCCTTAGGAGTCAATGTTTTCCAGAACTTATATTCCTTTAAAAGAATTAGGCAAATGTATGGAAAAATACATTGATGAATGGGGCCTCCATGTTCAAAGGCAGTCTACCATGAAGCAGCAACTGTTGACGACAAAGAGCAGGCAATTGCCCCTGTCGTGCCACATTTCCACAACTGTCTGCATGTTCCCAGCCAAGGAGAAAAAAATTATTTAATACATAACTACAGGCAGACCACCATGTTTCAGCTCCTCATCTTTAAAATGGGTCGGCAATGATGATCGGCTTTTCAGGATTATTGCAAGGAGTAGAGGAAAAGGAAACAGGCCAGTGGAAAAATACTAAATGGGGGTAATTGTACACTGTTTAACTCATTATGGATTTTTAGGCTGACTGAAACCAGAGAGAGAGGCTAGTAAATTCTTCTTCATCTGGTGAAACTGCCACCCAGAGCAGAAAAGGAGGCAAAGGCGGGACTGGGGGGGTGGAGAGAGAAAACTGACCCCTTTGCTGAAGTTGAACTTGAATTGCCTCTGGAGGAAAGCTGGTCTTCGGTTTAATCGGAAGGGCCTGTTATTGGCAGAAAGAAGAGGGCCTCCAATTAACTCAGTGTTTCTCAACCTTGGGAACTTTAAGACGGGTGGACTTTGATTCCCAGAATTCCCCAGG